TATTTTTACACCAAAAAATCAACAAACAAGGACTTCTTGATAAAACTGGAAAATGAAGAAATTTATGGGGGGGCAAATCCGCAAAAGTGGAAAATCGGGTCCCCCCCCAAAATATCAATTGTAAAAACGCATGTCTGTGTGCAATTCTATGGAAATTGCGGTCCGCAACTATGCAAACCTAAGTTCGCTGTTATAGAAACTCAGGTCTGTCATTACCGAAAACAGTGATCGGATATGGAAATCTCTGTCCAATCATATAATCCATTGCGATCATTTTTCCCAGCGGTTTCCGATACTCTGCACTGTTTGCATTCTGATGAATGATTTGTGATTCGGTACGTGTGGTTTTGTGATTGGTCTCACAGTATATGATTCGTCGTGTGCAGTCTGTGATTCAAATTGTGCGGTTTGTGATTGTCCCGTGCAGTCTGTGATTCTTTGTACGTTGTTTACGATTCGTTGCATGCGGTTTGTGATGCAATATTATTGTTTGTGATTCGCCGCGCGCAATCTGTGATTCAATGTGTGTTGTTTGTGATTCGGTGCGCGCGGTTCGTCGGGCGTGGTTTGTGATTCAACGTTTGGTCTGCATTCGGAACTTGCTGTGTTGATAGAATTGACGTGCAAGAGTTGGGGCCAGCAAACGTCGGACGGTGCTACCGCAGAATATCGCCCGAATGCGAGAATTGGATTTAAGTATCGCCATGAACGATGACATGAATATGACGTCTCGGATGACTAACGGGATGTCGCTTTTGCCCTTTTGTTCGCCACTGCATGCAATGCGTCAGAGGTTTCGGCTTCGAAACAACATTACCTAACAGCGAAGACGGATAGGCTTCTCGTAGGGTCAAAAGAGAGAGAGAGAGAGAGAGAGAGAGCATCATGACTCCCCAAGGGGGCTGGGCGGGATCCGGGCGGGTGCCGCGGAAAACCGGGGATTCCTTTTTTAGCCAACAGTAACGCACTTCGTGGTCTTCGAGTTCCCAGAACTCCATTCCTGGGCATGATTTTGAATGCCCGGAGCCAACTGTAGGCCGCTTCGTGTTTTTCGAGTTCCCAGAACTCCATTCCTGGGCATGATTTGAATGCCCTGAGCCAACTGTAGGCCACTTCGTGGTCTTCGAGTTCCCAGAACTCCATTCCTGGGCATGATTTTGAATGCCCGGAGCCAACTGTAGGCCACTTCATGGTCTTCGAGTTCCCAGAACTCCATTCCTGGGCATGATTTTGAATGCCCGGAGCCAACTGTAGGCCACTTCGTGTTCTTCGAGTTCCCCGGGCCACATTTTGAATGCTGAGGCAGGCTGAGGCTGAGGCTGAGGCAGGCTGATGCTGAGGCAGGCTGAGGCTGAGGCTGAGGCTGCAGGCTGAGGCTGAGGCCAGGCTGAAGGCAGATGAGGCTGAGGCTGAAGCAGGCTAAGGCTGAGGCAGGCAGGCTGAGGCTGAGGCTGAGGCAGGCTGATGCTGAGGCAGGCTGAGGCTGAGGCTGAGGCTGATGCAGGCTGAGGCTGAGGCAGGCTGAGGCTGAGGCCGAGGCTGAAGGCAGACTGAGGCTGAGGCTGAAGCAGGCTGAGGCTGAGGCTGAGGCAGGCTGAGGCTGAGGCTGAGGCAGGCTGATGCTGAGCAGGCTGAGGCTGAGGCTGAGGCTGAGGCTGCAGGCTGAGGCTGAGGCAGGCTGAGGCTGAGGCCGAGGCTGAAGGCAGACTGAGGCTGAGGCTGAAGCAGGCTGAGGCTGAGGCTGAGGCAGGCTGAGGCTGAGGCTGAGGCAGGCTGATGCTGAGGCAGGCTGAGGCTGAGGCTGAGGCTGATGCAGGCTGAGGCTGAGGCAGGCTGAGGCTGAGGCCGAGGCTGAAGGCAGACTGAGGCTGAGGCTGAAGCAGGCTGAGGCTGAGGCTGAGGCAGGCTGAGGCTGAGGCAGGCTGAGGCTGAGGCTGAGGCTGACTGAGGCTGAGGCTGAGGCAGGAGGCTGAGGCTGAGGCAGGCTGAGGCTGAGGCTGAGGCTGAGGCTGAGGGCTGAGGCTGAGGGCTGAGGCAGGCAGGCTGAGGCTGAGGCAGGCTGAGGCTGAGGCTGAGGCTGATGCAGGCTGAGGCTGAGGCTGAGGCCGAGGCTGAAGGCAGACTGAGGCTGAGGCTGAAGCAGGCTGAGGCTGAGGCTGAGGCAGGCTGAGGCTGAGGCTGAGGCAGGCTGATGCTGAGGCAGGCTGAGGCTGAGGCTGAGGCTGAGCTGAGGCTGAGAGCAGGCTGAGGCTGAGGCTGAGGCAGGCTGAGGCTGAGGCTGAGGCTGAGGCTGAGGCTGAGGCAGGCTGAGGCTGAGGCTGTGACTGCGACTGCCGTTGCCACTGCGACTGTCATCGCGAATGCGACTACGACTGCGAGAACAGCAGAATTCTACAACTGGATTCTCATTTGAATCTTAAGGGGAAGTTTCCAGGTATGCTCCTACACATCGCTGTTAGGTTGCTTTGCCGGGATAATGTTTAGTGTTCATAACTGTTATTCCAACCCCCCTCGTGGTTTATCTTAAGAATGACGTCGTCGAGCATTGCCGGGAAGTTTTTGAAGGGCAATGCAAATGAACATTCCCCTCATATGTGATCGATTGCCTCCAAAGTGGCCCCGAGAGTGCTCCCAAGGCTCCGCGCGCCAGGTGCGCAGCAGCAAAATGCGCATGTCATGTCCTGGCCGCTTTTTTTTTGTTCCATTTTTAACATCAGGAACAACCGATCGCCCTTGTCAAGCCCAAGATTATCCCATACGAGCACCACAAGAGACCGGCCAGGGTACAACATCGCCCGGCCGCCAGCCCCCTTGCGTAAACGTCTGCGGGCGCTTCGGGCAAAGCCTGACAAGGGAACCTTCGGGGAAAGCCATGGGACACGTGGCGCTAACCGAGACATAATTCTCCATGCTGCCGCTGCAGACTGGATGAACAATGCCACTCCTCCTCAGAATTATTACCCTTCCTCACCTCTGGCCCTTCTTCCCTCTGGACCTCCTCCTCCTCCTCCTCCTCCTCCTCCTGTTCCGCCTCCCTCATCTTTTCCCGCGAAAAAGCACTTTCTGTATTGCAGTGGCTCGTGCAGACTCTGGCTCGGAGCATCCTTGGGCATCTCGTGCGTCGACATCGATCAGACTGGCCACAGAGGCGGAGCTGCGCACTCGTCGCCGCTGCGCCCGATCCTTCTCCTCGATCCTCCTCCTCCTCGATCCTCCTCCTCGATCCTCCTCCTCGATCCTCCTCGATCCTCCTCCTCGATCCTCCTCCTCCTCCTCCTCGATCCTCCTCCTCGACCGGCGGCCGAAGCGAGCGGGCGGACCCTCGCGAGCTGGCATGCTGGCGCCCGAACCTGCGGGCCCAGACCCCCGACGTCGTGACTTCTGCACAACGCCCACCGCCAGAGGTCCCGACCCCTTCCCCGGGACCGGTTCTTCCTCCCGAATCGTTGGTTGACGGTCCCGAGGCCCGGGAGGGGCCTCCGGAGGCCGAAAACGGCGACAAACCTCCCGTCGTGATTTTTTCAGTCCCGAGGCCCGGGAGGGGCCCCCGGAGGCCGAAAACGGCGACAAACCCCCCGTCGTGATTTTGTTCACGGTCCCGAGGCCCGGGGAAGGGCCCCCGGAGGCCCTTCAAACAGCGAAGCACCTCCCATCGTGATTTTTTCACGACGCGAGGGGGTCTGGGCCGCGCGCCCGGCTCGCCCGTCGAGGTCCGCAGAAGGAGGTCGGCAGCAATCCCGCCCGTGTTGCTGCCCCGCCCAACCCGCCCATCTCTCTCTCTCTATATATATATATGTATACATATATGTGTTTATACATATATATATATATGTGTTTATATATATATATATATATGCATATATACATATGTGTGTTTATACATATATATACACATGTATACATGTTTGTGCATATATATATATATGTTTATACATGTATATACATATATTTATATATATATATATGTATACATATGTACACATATATATACTTTTATATATATATATATATATGTACACATATATAGGTGTATTTTTATATACATATATATATATGTATCTATGTACATATACATACGTGCATACACACATGCACATATATACACATGTGTATATATATATATACATTCATATATACATATATATACATATATATATGGACATATCGATCGGTCCGCCAGTTCGGGTATCTGCAAGCCCGCCCGCCCGGCTCGCCTGCCAGGCTCCGCCGCAGGCCGCCCCGCCCGTGGGAGGAACGCCCCGCCCGGCGGGGTCCGCCCGCCCAGACCCGCCCGCGAGGGTCCGCCCGCTCGCTTCGGCCGTCGGTCGAGGAGGAGGATCGAGGAGGAGGAGGATCGAGGAGGAGGATCGAGGAGGAGGAGGAGGAGGAGGAGGATCCAGGAGGAGGAGGAGGAGGAGGAGGAGGAGGAGGAGGATCCAAGAGGAGGAGGAGGAGGTGGAGGAGGAGGAGGAGGAGAGGAGGAGGATGAGGAGGAGGAGGAGCAGGAGCAGGAGGAGGAGGAGGAGGAGGAGGAGGAGGAGGACGTTTCCCCAGACCCCCTCGCGCCGTGAAAAAACACGACGGGAGGTTCTTCGCTGTTTTCGGCCTCCGCGGGGCCCTCCCCTCGCGTCGTGAAGAAATCGCGACGGGAGGTTTCGCGCCGTTTTCGGCCTCCGGGGGCCCGTCCCGGGCCTCGGGACCGCCAAAAAACGCCTCGGGAGGAAGAGCCGGTCCCGGGTCCGGGGGTGGGCGTTGTCGTGCAGAAAAACACGACGTCGGGGGTCTGGGCCCGCAGGTTCGGGCGCCAGCATGCCAGCTCGCGAGGGTCCGCCCGCTCGCTTCGGCCGTCGGTCGAGGAGGAGGATCGAGGAGGAGGAGGAGGATCGAGGAGGAGGATCGAGGAGGATCGAGGAGGAGGATCGAGGAGGAGGAGGATCGAGGAGGAGGATCGGGCGCAGCGGCGACGAGTGCGCAGCTCCGCCTCTGTGGCCAGGACGGGTGGGCGGGTCGAGGGGGCGGAGGCTCAGCGCTTCGCAGAGGCGCGCAGGGCGGCGAGGACCGCCTGCGAACCCGACGGAGGCCGAGCGGGCGGCCAGCGGAGCCGACCGGGAGAGGCCGCCCGCTGGCGAGGCCGCCCGCTGGCGAGACCGGTCGTCCCACCACAGGGCCTCGGCGCGGGGCCCAGACCCCCGACGTCGTGATTTTTTCACAACGTCGGCTTTGCATCCCGAGTCGTTTTTTGACGCTCCCGAGGCCTGGTGAGGGCCCCCGGAGGCCGAAAATTGAGAAAAACCTCCCGTCGTGATTTTTTCACGACGCGAGGAGGTCGCGGGGGCCCGGATGCGGCTCTGACCTCCCCCGAGGTCCGACGCTACAACAAAACTCGGGGCGGCGGGATTCTGGCTGCGAGTTCGGCCTCCGGTGGCCCTCGCCGGGCCTCGCGAGAGCGTGTCACGAAACGACTCGGGACGAAGAACCGGTCACGGGGAAGTGGTCCAGACCTCCCTATAGGTCCACGCTCCCAAAAAATATTGGAGAAGCCGGATGTCTGGGTCTGGTGCCTGAGCGGGCGAGGTGGCGGATGGTGTGGAGGACTGAGGTGGAGGGGGTTGGGGGAGGATGAGGCGGGGGAGGTGGAGGAGCAGGGTCTGGAGAGGGCGGTGTCAGAGACGGGGCAGCGGCTCCCCAAGAGGACTGTTCGGAGAGCACCTCCAGCGCGCAAACCCTCGCCTCCAAGCTCGGCGACGAATTCAGAGCAGGAGCGGTGGGATAAGAGAGAACGCGAAAGCTGGCCGACTCTTGCGGCCGCGCGCGGCCGCGCGAAGGCCGACTGTTGCGGCCTGGCGACGCCAATTGCCATCGCGCATCCTGGTCGACTTTTGCGGCCGCACGAAGTACAAGGAGGAGGAGGAGGAGGAGGAGGAGGAGGAGAAGGAGGAAGCGAGCAGCGACATGGAGAGGCTCAGAGAGGATAGTGGACAGGCGGAGAGAGCAGAGAGACATAGGAGAAGGGGGGAGAAGAGAAGAGAGAGGAGACCAACCCAATGGGATGAGGACAAGGAGAGGGAGGTGGACGGACTCACGGGCGGACGCTGCAGTGCTCGCCGAAGCGCGGCGCATTGAGGGTGCAGCGGGGAGGCTGGGGCGCTGAGCTGGAGATGGGGGGGGCACGCATGGAAAACCAAGCGCGGTGGCACGAGGCACGCACTGGCAGACGGGCAGTGGCTGAGCAGAGTAGAGAAGAGGGCAGGCGAAACGGGGGCGTGAACACGAGGAGGCACGAAGGAAGGAGAAGAAGCTTAAGCACCACACCACCACCACCACCGCCACCGCCACCGCCACCACCACCACCGCCACCGCCACCGCCACCACCACCACCGCCACCACCACCATCACCACCACCCCCACCCCCGCCCCCACCACCACCAGGCAGGGAGAAGCGGCAGGAGGAGTGGGAACGAGTCGGATGATGTGGGCGAAGATCAGGAGGAAGGGGGGAGGTATTGCAGAAACAGTGGGCAGTTGAGGAGCGGGAGTGAGACGAAGCCAGGACGAAGACACATTCGGATGAGGGTAGATCAAGAATCTCTGAGATCTGGCAGCTCTGGAAGGTGTATCGGGTGCAGTGGCCTTCTCCGAGAGCGTCCCAGAACGCTCTGGAACTGATTTATCCTCGTCCTAGCCTCATCGCCTCCTCCTTCGGCCCTCCCTCCCTCGTCGCCTCCACCTTCGTCCCTCCTCCTTCGTCCCTCCCTCGTCGCCTCCTCCTTCGTCTCTCCTCCTTCGCCCCGAAGGAGAGAACCGGGGGCGGGGGAGAGAGGGAGGGGGGGAAGCGGACCAGCAGCAGAGGCAGGACGAGCAGGACGCACGAGAGGATGGGGATAGTGGACAGGAACATCACGAGGAAGATGAGGAGAAGAAGGGTGGATGGTGATGAGGGTGTGGATGATGAGCAGGAGGATGGAGAGGAAGAGCAGCAACAAAAGGAGGATGATCAGGACGAGGATGAACCAGAGGAGGAAGAGCAGGAGGAACAGCAAGAGGAGGAGGAACATGATGAGGCGGACGAGGAGACGGTGGAAGGGAGGCTGAGCAGAAGGCTTTGGTGATCTGCCAAGGAGACTTAGAATGCATGCTAACCAGCAGATTCACACACGTCTAGCCATTCAAGACCAGCGCCGGCCTACAAGCGCTAAGCCTTTCAAGACCATTGCCAACCACGCCGCAACCTTAGACGGAGGGGGAGGGGCTGATACGGGAAGGACTTCGATCTATACTAGGCCGCTTTACGTGCTCCGCATCAGCTCGACCAGACAGTGCAGCGCCAGCGCAGCTCGTTCGCACAGCCCAACACCTCGCATATCCCAGCCAACACAAACGCTACGCACCACTCCAGTCTTCCCCCCCGAAGAGTCTCCCTCTTCTCCTTCACTATCGCGCAAGGCCCTCGCAGCCCAAGTGCCTAAGTAGGCGCCCGACTGGTCTCGCGCATTGGTAGAGCGCGCCTGCTCCCCTCTACTTTCACCAGCAGCGTAGCACCCACACGAAATGTTTTACACTGCGCTGGTGTTGTTCCCCACATCCTAAGTGGGGTTCTGGTTTTCGCTGCACACCCTCCGCGCAGGATCTCTTCTCCTCCTCCTCCTCCTCCTCCTCCTCATCATCATCATCATCATCATCATCACCATCATCATCATCATCATCATCATCATCACCACCACCATCATCATCATCATCATCATCATCATCACTCTCTCTCACTCTCCGTCCCATCATCATCACCATCACCAAAATCAGCATCATCCTCATCGCACTCATCGTCGTCATCATCATCATCATCATCATCATCATCACTCACCCACCACCCACCCACCCACCCACTCACTCACTCACTCACCCACTCACCCACTCACTCATCACCGTCACTCGCTTATGCCACCCGAGTAAGTCTCAGGCGGGAGCCCCCCTCCATATGGGTCCCGCACTTCATGTTGGTAATCCGAACGGGGCATCGGCAACCTGTAACAATCGTCACTTTTGGGCTCCTCAGGCTTGAACTTCGAGGAAGTATCTAGCGGGAGCCTCGTCTGTGAGTGAATTGTGAGGAAGTGTCAGGCGGGAGCCCCCCCCTATTGGTCCCGCAGTTCATGTTGGTAACCCGAGCGGGTCATGAGTCATCGGCAACCTGTAACCGTCGTCGCTTCTGGGCTCCGCAAGCCTGGGTTTGGAGGAAGTATCACGCGGGAACATCGTCTGTGAGTGATTTGTGCGGATGCCTCAAGCGGGAGCCCCTCCTTATGGGTCCCGCAATTAATGTGGGTAATCCGAGCGGGTCATCGGCAACCTGTATCTGTGCCCCCCCAAACTTGAATTTGGAGGAGGTATCAAGCGGGACCATCGTCTGTGAGTGAATTTTGAGGATGTCTCAAGCGCCCACCCCCCCTTTGGGTCCCGCATTTCGTGTTGGTAATCTGAGCGGTTCATCGGCAACCTGCTTGCATTTTGGGGGAAATATCACGCGGGAGCATCGTCTGTGAGTGAATTGTGAGGAAGTCTCAAGCGGAAACCCCCTCCCTATTGGTCCCGCGCTTCACGTTGGTAACCCGAGCGGGTCATCGGCAACCTGTAACTGTCGTCACTTTTGGGCTCCCCAGGCTTGAATTTGTAGAGAGTATCAAGCGGGAGCCTCGTCTGTGAGTGAACTGTCAACCAAACTTGGGTTCATGCTTCCTCCTGCCTGAGCGCGGCTGCGCCCCGCTCGAAGCCCGCGGGGTTGTCCCAACGGTTTGGCCTGCGGGGCTGTCCCGACCGCCTGCCCCCGCGCCCCAGCGGCCCGCAGGGTTGCCCCAAAGGCTTCGCGAACCAGCCGTCGGGGAATACGCGCGCCCTGGCCGCGGCGGCGACGGCGCCGAGGAACATCGATTTGCTTGCCCCGACCAAGGGGAAGGGGAGGAGCGCGCGGAGAAGAAGCAGGGGAAGGAGGACGGGGAAGGGGTATGGAAGGGGTGATGATGATGATGATGATGATGATGATGATGATGATGATGATGATGGTGATGATGATGAGGAGGAGGAGGAGAAATAGAAGGAGGGGGAGTAGGTGAGGGCAGAACGGCAGGCGAGAGGAGAGTGTCCGTCAGGGCGAGGAGGAAGAAAAGGGTAAGGGCAAGCCAAAGATATTCTCATGCGGGGTCCTTCCGTCGGAGTAATTTTACTCGTCTGCGGCTAGGTCAGGCTAAGCGAGGTGCTACCCGCAACGTTATGCTTGCGGCCGTTTTGGCCGCACGGCAAGGACCCCCCCCCCTGAGGGACATCGTACTGCGACTGCCACTGCGCTCGCCACCCGCACCCACAACTTGCAGCCGCCCAAATGTCGTCTTACTGTGGTCTCCTACTTGTTCGGTGCTCTTGTCCAGCTACGTTTCATGGTGCAGGGCTGGTTCCCTTCACCTCACCTCGACAAGTTGCGCGCCTACTCCACGCCCTTGCGGGATTAGGTACTTGCAGCTCTCGCTCCCCACCTTCCCCACCGATTCGGCGTGTTGGTTGCACCCCGCATTCGATGCGCGTTGCTCCTGAAACCACTGCGTATGGCCTGAGTCGGTTATCGTTGTGCTGCACTACATGCCGGCCTCTTGACGCTACGGTTCATCCTGCCAAGATTGGTGCAGCAACACGGTGGACAGGGGAGGGCAGCTCTGGATGCCGTGGCCAAGGTGCTGCACTCCCTGCGGGAACGAGGCCCCCGAGGCGCCGCGACGAGGTCGGGCGGACGTCGACAGGCCACCCGAGGCGAGAGCCAACAGAGACCGACGAGCGGCGGCGGCCAGGCCGATCGGCCAAGACTGGGGTGCAGATGCGCCAGGGGGAGGAGGAGGAGGAGGAGGAGGAGGAGGAGGAGGAGGAGGAGGAGGAGGAGGAGGAGGAGGAGGAGAGGGAGGAGGAGGGGAGGAAGGAGGAGGAGAAGGAGGAGAGGAGGAGGAGGAGGAGGAGGAGGAGGGGAGGGAGGAGAGGAGGAGGAGGAGGAGAGGAGGAGGAGGAGGAGGAGGCGGAGGAGGAGGAGGAGAGGAGGAGGAGGAGGAGGAGAGGAGTAGAGAGGAGCAGAGGGGATGGAGGAGGAGGAGGAGGAGGAGGAGGAGGAGAGAGGAGGGAGGAGGAGGAGGAGGAGGAGGAGGAGGAGGAGAGGAGGAGGAGGAGGTAGAGGGAGGAGGAGGGACGGAACGGAGGAGGGAGGAGGAGAGGAGGAGGAGGAGGAGGAGGAGGGGAGGAAGAGGAGGAGGGGAGGAGGGAGGAGGAGGAGGAGCTGAGTGGGGAGGGAGGAGGAGGAGGAGGAGGAGGAGGAGGAGGAGGAGGAGGAGGAGGAGGAGGAGGGGGAGGGGGAGGACTGTAGTGTATTGCTGATGCCCTTGAGGGTAGGCATAACCCTGTGAGGACGGATGGGGCTCTGGGGCTCACCCACCCTTGTTACCGTGCCCCCAGGTACAAGGACCGTGGTAGGCACACGGTATGAGAGGTAGCATACCTTTCATCGGCAACCTCCGTTGTGAAGACCGTGGCTCGTCCTTACTCGGCTTGTGCGCCAGAGCTATCGGAGCGTATCAGCACACGCTGGAGGTGAGTGTGAATGAGGGGCGATGGATTCCACACCTCCTGACTGCATGGACGATGCGGCGTAGCGAGGCCGCCAAGGTAATGAGGCTCAGAGTTACAGCGCTGAATGCCAGTGCGTGCGCGTGCGGCGGGATGCAACAAGGGAGTAGGTGGCTGATATAATAAGTGGACAACGTCAACCCACGCCACCATTGTGCTGCGTACCCCAACGGTTACACGACGCGACGCGACGGCAAGCTGAGAGGCAATGGTTACCTCACCTCCTGCCGGCATGGACGATGCGGCGGAGTGAAGACGCCAAGGTAATGAGACTCAGAGTAAACAGCGCTGTATGCCAGTGCGTGCGCGTGCGGCAGGGCGCAACAAGGGAGTAGGTGGCTGAGATAATATGTGGCCAACGTGTCCTCACGCCACCTCTGAGCTGCGTGCCCCTACGGTTACACATCGCGACGCGACGGCAGGCAAGGGGATCGCGCGCCGAAGAATACGATTCGACCCGCGGCCGCATAACCATCTGAGAGGCGATGTTTTCCTCACCTCCTGCTGGCATGGACGATGCGGCGGAGTGAACAAGCTGGCCCAGAACGCATCCTGGGACCATACCTGCTGAGGCCGGCGTGCCTCACGTAGGCCCTCTGCCCAAGACTGGGAGGATACGACCTTCGAGAGTTTCGTATCGGGTGCGACCCCCAGAAGGCTCACGGCGAGGGGCATCTCCGACCTTCAAAACCCCTTCGGGTTTCGGGGACGATGAGCTTGGCGAGTCATTGAGGACGAGTCGGTTCCCCAGTTGTCCGTTTCCCTGGGGGGGTCCTCAGTTGTCCGTTTCCCTGTGCCCCGCATCAGCGGGGGGGCTGAGGCGAATAAGTATGGGAATGGCCCAGCTGGGCAGCGTGGGACCTTACACCGTCTCACCTCGGGGTTCCCCAAGAGGCCTTCCCGAGACGGGGCCGAGGGGCGCAGCGGTGGCACCTCCTGCGAGCCGAGTAACGATAAAGACATCGATTAATCCAACCACCCGCCTCGGACTGGGGGTGGGGGATGCTGCTCAAGCTTGGCTCAGGCGTGGCTCAAGCAATGAGTTTATACGACTGAAGGGCCCCACTAGCATAATAAAACAAACAAATACTCACCAACCCACCTGTAACAAGGAATTTTTGGGCCTGTCGGCGGGCCCGTTTTGGGGCCAACGTGCACCGGAAAGGCGCTTCCGGAGCTCGCTGGGCAGACCCCGTGCGAACACTACTTGGTTAGGACCGCCCGCGGATCCTAACGGTGTCACGGGGTATTCCCGAGGACAAGGATGAGGCCAGCGGACCCAAGTCACCCTTGTAAGACTAACAGGGCTTAGTGAGCATGCCCCATGAAGACAATTGTGCAGGACCGCCGGCATTGTCGCCGGGCTGTGTCCTGGAGGCCCGACCCTCCGACGTGAGCATGCGGTGCCGCTTCCTTCTCCGTGCCAATGCAGCTTCGGACACTATGCCTGCACCGCTGGATTTCCTAAACGCTGCTGCTGCAATACAGCTTGAGATAAATGATTATCTTGCCAAGTCGGCGGCGGACACGATAGCTTGCACCACTGGTTTATCTAACCACTGCTGCTGCAATACCAAGCGATGCGTTTGAGCACTGCCAACATCCTCGTCCCCTCACTCCTGGGCGCGGTTATCTTCATTGGGCACCGCTCTGGTGCATCGGACCGCGGTGGGAGGGAATGCGCCACAGAGCCGCCAGCCACAGTGTATCCCGGCAGGATACGTCTGCTTTCTCCCGCTCGCGACTGACGCGCCTCAGCGCGCTGGACGCACGAAACGTGTGAGAATCCTCCGCATCCTCCAAGGGCGATGAGGGGAGGAAGGAGGAGAGAGGAGAAGTTTGGAGGTGAAGGCAAGAGTGGCGCGTGCAAGAGCGGGCCGCGAGGCCCGCGCAGCACGAGGGGTGTTATCGCCGTGGGCCTGGCGTCTAGGGGATCCCCTTGCCAGCCCGTGGCGTGAGCGTAATCTGTGAATGCACGAAAGCTGGCCCGGACGCTGGCCAGCGTCTAACAGGAGATAAGCAATGTTAGCCGGACAGAATGATATTATGCAGGACTGTCGGCCTTGCCGCCAGACTGTGTCCTTGAGGCAAATGCCTCGCGACATGCTTGCAAAGTTACACTGTGGATGCACGAAAGCTGCAAATGAAGCTGGCCAACCTCTGATAGGAGATAACCATGGTAGCAGAGTGCGATTGTGCAGGACTGCCGGCCTTGCCGCCAGGCTGTGTCCTTGAGGCGAATGCCTCGCGACGTGCGTTCATAATCTGTAGACGCACGAAAGCTGGCCTTGACATTGGCCATCGTCGACTAGAAGACAAACCATGGTAGCCGCAAAGCGTGAGACTGTGCAGGACTTCCGGCCTTGCCGCCGGGATGTGTCCTTGAGGCCACTGCCTCGCGACATACTTGCATGATCTGCGATTGCACGAAAACTGGCAATGACGTTGGTAGGAGTCAGCCATGCAAGCCGGACAACATGGGGTTATGCAGGACTGCCGGCGTTGCCGCCGGGCTGTGTCCTTGAGGCGAATGCCTCGCGACATGCTTAGATAAACTGTGGATGCACGTAAGCTGAAACTGAAGCTGGTCGACGTCTGATAGGAGGAACCATGGCAACAGAGTGCAAATGTGCAGGACTGCCGGCCTTGACGCCGGGCTGTGTCCTTGAGGCGAATGCCTCGCGACGTGCGTTCATAATCTGTGGACGCACGAAAGCTGGCCCTGACTCTGGCCATCGACGAATAGGAGACAAGCCATGGTAACCACAAAGAGTGAGACTGTGCAGGACTGCCTGCCTTGCCGCCGGGCAGTGTCCTTGAGGCGAATGCCTCGCGACATACTGCATTATCTGCGATTGCACGAAAACTGGCAATGACGTTAATAGGAGACAACCATGGTAGCCAGACGAAAAGATATTGAGCAGGACTGCCGGCCTTGCCGCCGGGCTGTGTCCTTGAGGCGAAGGCCTCGCGACATGTGTGCAGCATCCGCGGTGCACGACAGCTGGCACGGCCGTTGGCCACCGTCTAAGACGAGGCCATGGTAAGCGGAGAAAGTTAGATTGTGCAGGACCGCCGGCTTTGCCGCCGGGCTGTGTCCTTGAGGCGAATGCCTCGCGACGTGCGTGCATAATCTGTGGATGCACGAGATCTGGCACTGCCGTTGGCCTTCGCCTGCGCACGAGGAGCCAAGCGTAGCATATGCCCGCGTGTGCCTTCAGACAACGAAGTAAAGATCTCGAGGTGAACGACCTCGAGGTATTGACCGCCTTCCTTGCAAGATGGGTAACGGTGATTGTGCAAGACCGCCGGCCTTTCCGCCGGGCTGTGTCCTGGAGGGCAGAACCTCCGACTGGAATGCTTCTCCGCTGGCATTGGCGCCAGGCCATGTCCTACGGACACATGCCACACGCTAGGATATGAGAATGTGCAGGACAGGGGGAGGGGAGGAGGAGGAGGAGGAGGAGGAGGAGGAGGAGGAGGAGGAGGAGGAGGAGGAGGAGGAGGGGGAGGAGGAGGGGAGGAGCAGGAGGAGGAGGAGGAGGAGGAGGAAGAGGAGGAGGAGGACGAGGAGGAGGAGAGAGGAGGAGGAGGAGAAGGAGGCACGCCACGGGCCGCGTCCCTGGCCACCACCACCACTGGTAGGCCACCAGCAGGACGGCAGACACCAAAACTACAAAGAGAGCCTCCAGCAGGCGGCCAGCGTTTGGGGCAACCAGCGCTGGTTGACGGACGATGTCGTGGTGTCAGACAGGCTCTTCTAGTCGGTGGCAGGCGTGGCAGGACACTTGCTTGACAGCGGAAGAGGCCCTGGGGCGGACAGGAGGAGGAGGAGGAGGAGGAGGAGGAGGAGGACGATGAGGAGGAGGGGGAGGAGGAGAAGGAGGAAGGAGGGGGAGAAGGGGGAGGAGAGGCAGAAGAAAGAGGGCCTCAAGTCGGTCCTGACAGGCCACCAAGACGGCTTCCGACGGCGTCAGACGGGCCAGGAATGCCCTAAGACGGCCGGAGAGGGCCCCAAGAAGCCCAAGAAGGCCCCTAAGAGGCCCAAGGAGGCTTCCAGAAGGCCTCCGAGAGGCCCACAAGAAGCTCCCAGAAGGCCCCAAAAGTACTCCTCCTCATCCTCTTCCTCCTCCTCTTCCTCCTCCCCCTCCTCCTCCTCCTCCTCCTCAGCCTCCTCCGCCTCCTCTTCTTCCTCCTCCTCATCTTCCTCCTCCTCCGCCTCCTCCTCTCTATTTGTCCCCCCTCTCCTCCGCTTCTTCTTTCTCCCCCGCGTATTCTCTGAAGGGTTTCCACAACGGCCAGGGGAACACATGGTCGGATAGCTTGGCAGAGCTCTGGCCACAACGTTCGGCCGCATGGGCGAATCCAAACGGCAGGGGGCGGCGGTGATTCGACGTAGGCGTCTTCGCTACCGATACAGGTAGACCACCCGGGACTCTCCCACGGTGCGATGTGACCAAGATTTCGAGGCGAACCCTGCCGTGGCAGCGGGCGGAAAGGGACCCCCGAAGAGGCTCAACGAGGCGGAGACGACACAAGTGCACCGGTACACGTCGGTCGGAAGAAGTAGGTCAAAACATGAAGTAGGAAGGCGGATGAAGTGGATTGGGTCCAGGCCCCCCCCGGAGACTGACAAAACACGGCAGACGCGCGCCGATTCTTGAAGTAGGACGGCGCTTGAAGCAGATTGGGATCTGGGAATCCAACAACCCAGACCCCCGACGTCGTGATTTTTTCACGACGTCGACCCCCAGAGGTCTGGACCCTTTCCCTGGGGCCGGTTTTGCATCCTGAGTCGTTTTTTGACGGCCCCGAGGCCCGGCGAGGACCTCCAGAGGCCGAAAATTGCGAAAAACCTCCCGTCGTGATTTTTTCGCGACGCGAGGAGGTCGCGGAATACCTACTTTCAGCGGCCGGCGTGCACCGGGCACCGACCTCCCCCCCCCTGGAGCTGGAGGAAGCGGAGCGGGGCCCGAGGGGCTCCACAGTGCTCGGCACGGCGACGGCCGAGCACTGCGGGAGCCCGCGCGAACAGCGTGCCCCAGCAGAGCGGCAACCTCCCCCTCCTCCTCCTCCTCCTCCTCCTCCTCCTCCTCCTCCTCCTCGCTCCTCCTCCTCCTCCTCCTCCCCTCCTCCCCCTCCCTCCTCCTCCTCCTCCTCCTCCTCCTCCTCCTCCTCCTCCTCCTCCTCCTCGGCAGCCAGCCGCAACTGGAGGAGGAAAGAACGGCGCAGGCAGAAACTTTTGGCGCTCCGCGCGGGTGCCTCGGATCTGCGCCGGACCCCCTTCCCTGGCGCGCGGAGCGCGCCAGGTGCGGCGCTGGAGGCGCCGCCTGGGGGGCCCAGCGCGGATCCAAGAAATCCGCGCGGAACGCCAAAAGTTTATGTTTATGGTTAAATCGGGCGTGTCTCCCTACAGGTGGATTTTTTTTGACAAAATAAAACATACTCAAAAGGTATTCCCCACATGGCGAAAAATACACAAAAACCCCGGACTATGTTTTTTCAATCGTATTTTTCCCTACCTAGGCTCTGCCTAGAAGGGTTCTTACTGTCATTGCTTGAAGAGCTGGGCAGTGCTACGCGCCCCGGGCGGTTCCCCCGGTCCCCTGGGAGCAAGCAAAAGCAACAGCAAAGGTAAAAGAAAACGCGCGGTTCCCCCAGTGACGCTCCCTGGGTGCCAAGCAAAAGCATAAGCAAAGGCAAAAGTGAAGGCAAAAGCGAAGGCAAGTCAAACGCATAGCATAGCATAGCACAGCATAGCATCGCATAGCGCAGCATAGCATAGCGCAGCAAAGCATAGCATAGCATAGCCTAGCCTAGCCTAGCCCAGCATAGCATTGCGCAGCATAGCATAGCACAACATAGCATAGCAGAGACGAGCATAGCATAGCGCAGCACAGCATCCACGATTGCTGCTGTTATATATACTTATACGTGTGTGTGCGCACGTATGTTCCATGCATGTTGTCCGTCTGTGGGCCATTTTGAGCCCATAGTGGGGCAGCTTGAGCCCTTAGGATTCACGAAGGTTTCGCACAGAGCACCGGCCGGGAGACATGAAGCCCGACGTATTATCGCATGTCCTTAATGTCTTTCTACACATGCGCACATATATGTATAGAATGCTGCATGTGTGTGTGTGCGTGTGAGTGCATGTATTGGTTCAGCACCGCGTCGCAATGCCTTTCATCCTCGTTGCCGTTCCGCCTCAACTCCGTGACTCGCAGAGCCACGCAAGAGCGCGCAGCAGTGCATTGCGTCATGCGGGCATGCTTACGGACCTCGAGTGGCGAGGCACGAGACCCAGCAAGCAGTGTTGAGCATCCTGCAGAGAACAATGTTCCAAGCAGTGTTGAACAACGTGCAGAGATGTTCAATTCCGTCGCGGCCGTGAATCGGTGGTTGACTGCGCAAGGTGCTGCGTGCAACGCGCCAGACTTTCAAAAACTGCGTACGGCAGTTTCGGTGCTCACGAAGACGCCCAACCCTCGACGGGAAGAGGTGCCCCCTCTCTGCTCTTCATGGAATGTGCGACAGAAAGATCAGAGACGACGCCGACCACTAGCGACTTTGATCACAGAGTTGCAGCAGGCGGTCATCACCGAAGGCAGCAGGCTCCGAGCTAGCCTCGATGGCCAGACCGGAGCCCCCGCAAGCAGTGCTGAACAGCCTGCAGCTCTTGCAGGAGCCGCGAGCAGTGTTGATCCCAGTGCAAGCAGTGCTGAACAGCCTGCAGCACTTGATGGAGCCGCGAGCAGTGCTGAACAGCCTGCTGTCGCTGGGAGCACAGGTAAACGACCTTTCCACAGCGTTAGTGCTGCGCAGCGTGGCCGCGAAGACAAAGTGCCCCGGGGAAGAGCCTCGTCGGGCTCCGCCTCAGCAGTAGTCGGCGCGGCACTCCAAGGCAGTGACGAAACCGCAGCAGCAGCGCGTGAAGCACCACGCCCCCGTGACGAGTCCAGTGCTGCACAGCCTGGTCCAAGGAGCAGTCAGGGTCGCCGCGCGGGCTTGCTCTCCACAGCAGAGAGCCAACCACGGGGGGCAAGAGCGAGCTCCAGCTCGACACGGTCGCCACACACCGATGCGCAGGCGAGTGCTGCGCAGCCTGGCATACCGACCAAGCGGCAGCGAGACAACTCCATCGTGAACATTCTGCGGGGCCACCCGCCAAACTCCGACAGTTCTGCCGGTGCTGCCGGAGCCATGGAGAGCAACGCCAGTGCTGCACAGCCCGGCCCACCGACGAAGCAGCAGCGGCTTGCAGCCATCGCCGCAGGGATCAGCAGCTTGCAGGGAGATGTCGCCACCAATCGCAGTACCGCACAACCTGTTGCAGCAGCAACAGCACCAACGCCAGCAGCAGCAGCAGCAGCGCCACCCCCTCCACTTGCAGCGCGACCCGAACACATTCAACGCAGCATCCTTCAGTATGGCTCGAGCGCCGATGATCTTGCAGAGCTGCGACGAGCCATGGTCCAAAAGGCGCAGGGGCTCTGACGACTCAAACGCCGCCAGACGGCTGCAGACGACGACGGCGGCGAAGCACTTACGAAGTTGCTTAGACAGGCGAATCAGTTGCAAGGCATACCTGCCAGTGAAAGGATACTCAAACCAGCAGAGATCCGTACTCTCTACAACATACATTGTGGCACACTTCAGCTCTGGAGACAACCGTGCAGAGGCCGCAGAAGAGATTGCAAAACGGTCACTGCCGTTGCATGCCGGCCCCTTGTGTCCGCAATCCAAACTTACCTCGCCACACGAGGGCCACTGGACGAGGAAACTTTCCCGTTCTTCACGAAGCTCCACGAGGCCACCGCCACAACGCAGCGCGCACCACCCCGCGCCGCACAGGAGCTCCACACACGCCTGAACGAGGCCGAGACGCTGCCCACCGCACCGTTCGGACGCCACGACCCGAACGAGAAGCTCTTCAATGCCGCGTGGTACTCTTTGACGATGCTGGCAGCATTGGAGCTACCAGACGTCCCTTTCCATGTGCTACTGAGCACGCGCCGCGCGGCCACAGCCCTGCAGAACGTCATCGCAGAGCGCCGCGCGTCCTATGCACAGACAGCCTCAGAGCGGCGACATTCCACCCCTACCGTCCCTGAGGTCTGCGAGGGGCTGCAGCAGTTCTACAGCGATCCTTACGCACATCACTTGAAGCAGGACTGGCTGCTGAAGGCACTCAAGATCCCAGAGGCACGCCGCCGCGACGCGCACCACTCCGCGAGCTCTTCAACACCGCCACGGAAGATTTCTTCTTGTATGCTCAGCAACACGGGATCACGGCCACACCACTCTCAAAACACACTTTAGCGACGTGCACATTATTTCGCCTCTTGCTCACTTCGCAGAAGCCTCCAAAGGCATTCATTCTACGCTTTGGGCCTACCCTACGGCTTCTCGCCAACTTCAAGGGCGACTGTGGCAAACGCTACACACCCCAGGACGCGTGTGGTGCGGATGTGGAACTCGCGGCGAACCGACTCCCGGCCTACTTCACCCGCCTCGCAGACAGTGCTGCACAGCCTGTCTCGTCATCGGCATCCAGCAGTGGTGCACAGCCTGTCGGAGCACCAGACCTCATGCTTCCCGTGGCCTCGCCACCGGTCATGTGCTGGATTTGCTGCGAAGGGTTCAGGCGCAACGGCGCCTTCTTCAAGCGCTGCTCCGACGCCCACGGCGGTTGCGTGGAGCATCGCAAGAGGCTCCTGTGGCGAGCGCAACGGGATGGTTTCAAGCCCCTGTTGCCCTGGGTCAAGCAGCACGTCTTTCAGTCCGCCACCTTCCACTTGACGTTCTCGGTGCCTGGTTTCTTGTCGCTCCATTGGAACCACCCAGAAGCCATCGCCGTGGCACAGACGAAATGCGAGGTGGCTTGCGTCGCTTGTGCACGGAAAGATTGGCTTGGGAACCGTTATCCCGTGTACCTTTGGCGGGGGGCCACCGATAAACGGACATTAACGCAGCTCCTGCACGCAGGCAGCGGAACCTTGACGTTCCTCACCTGCGGCGACACCCTTTGCTTCGGGAGCCGTGACAAAATCAACGGGCACTTGTCCACGGATGGGTGCATGGGCCGATGGCCGTTGATCCCGAAGGCCGAGTTCCTCGCCTCTTCTGTGCTGCAACCTTCAGACCATTCCATGGTATGGTTGCTACGCGCCCGACGCGCGCCGCTCCTACCTGACAGCCGGCAGGGTCGCCCCAGCAGCGCTGCGCAGCCTGTGCACCAAAAGGGCCAGCCGGGCAGCGCTGAACAGCCTGCAGTCCGCGATGTCGGGGCACCGATGTGCGCTGGGATCGGCGATCCTGACCAGACAGCGCACATTTGGCACGATTGTGCTGTCTGTTTGTACGCCGAAGAAAAGTTCATCAAAATGCCCGCGTTTGCCCTCGCAAACGATCTCTGGCTTGGTCGGGGGCGCACGGCCCTTCAGAGCGCATCCCTGGTCCACGGATGCTGCCGGGCCTTGGAAGAGCATGTTTCCGCACATTCTTGTTGGGAAAGGGCCACAAAAGAGACGCCGCAGTCAGGATTCACTGGCAACCGCATCCTGATCTCGCAAGCTTCGGCCGCACTCGCGGAGGCACTACCGCCGTCCTCCGCGCACTTGAAGGACAGTTTCGTTGTGATTTTCGGCCAGGACACTGACGACTTGCGCAAGTGTCAGCTCCTCACCGTGCAGCTCGAAGCCTACAAGGCCCTCGCTGCGGAGCGTGCCCGGGTCAACGCCATCTTCGCCGAGATTCCCGTGGACCAGGCCGCCGTGAAATGCCCTCCCGCTCAACCGCGTGCCACGGCAATTCCTGGACTGCGCCGTCCAGGTGCCGGAGGTCGAGCATTGCAGCGCGACGCGCTCAGGGCCGGGCACCGTCCGCGATCCTTTGGACGCGGCCCGCCCCGAGGACGATGCCTCCGACGAGCTTTCTGAGAGCGACGACGACAAGCGCGCTGCGACAGCGTCAGGGGAGGCTGTTCCAGCTCGCGCTGCACAGCGAGCGCTGCCTCACAAAACGTGGAGCACCTCAGCCAGTTCGAAGCCCCAATAGGCATGGACCCTACGGCCGCGCCCACGTTCGTGCAGCACGTGGCCGCCTTTAAACACAATTTGGAACACGCGCGGGAGTTAGTCGCCTCCTCCAATTCCTCCGCCAACCAGAATCCGAGCGGACAGAGCGACAGCAGTGCTGCACAGCGAGCTTCCTTGGCCGCGTCCACAGCCGCTGCGGAGGAGCACTGCTTCAGGGCCGTCGTGGACTTGCGAGGGGCCGCCCGGCAGCTGAACACCCACAATTGGAAGAGGAACCTCGCTCTCCTAGACAAGGCTGCCGAGTGCGACAAGGCCCTCTTCGTGCCCTCACAGAAGCCTTTGAGCATGTTCGACCCGACGACGTGGTCCAAATGTTTATCCGAGTGGTGGTTTGGCGACGGCCTCCCGAACGTTTCACGGCGACCACGCGAGGTCACCTTTGAGCAGCTCTTTGCCGCCCTCCTGCACCGAGAGGAGCTCGAGGATCCGGCGCCGTGCCGGGCACGGCGCAAGAGCAGGTTCGATGCGCCAGAACACGTCTGTGTTTTCGGCGACACCTTGCGCCGCCTTGCTCTCTTCAAGGGCGCGCGCGCCGCCGTCCGACGACAAAGCTTCCAGAAAGATGGATGTGCGGCTCATTGCGAACGCCGCTTCAGCACATTGCCTCCAAGCCCTCGCCCGCGAGGCTTTAGGGAGTGCGAGCACCGAGGCGCTCGCACGAGACGACCGTGTCTGCAAAGAACTGGCCACTGCCTTACTACAGGTGCTCACCAGCGCGAAAGTCGCACCTTTGACAGACGGCTACAAACGGAACCTACGACATGAAGGCCATAACTTGAACGTGGCGTTTGGTTTCTTGACAGTATTTGTCGCGTTCAATTTCGCCGACAACTACGCACCACTTCTTTTCAAGCTTTGCAGCGGCGAAGAGGTCATCCGCGACATCGCGTGTGATCTCAGTGCTGAGCAGCCTGACATACCACCGTTGCACCGCATGCAGCAATTCATTGCGGAATCCCCGCGGGCGCAGGTTCAGTTCTTCAAGCTCATGGACGACGTCGCGGACATTTACTGCATGGGGATCGACGGCTCCTTCATTGGCAGGCACCACGTGCAGCGCGTTGTCCGTCACACCCTCCGAGAAGACCGTTTCCCTTCCCCTTGCATGCCCGGCCTCGGGGGCTTCGGCATCGCGGAACTCGAACCTTTCGAGTCCCAAGCCCGTGGCTTTCAGCATGGTCACCGCAAAGTCTACAAGATCCCGGCCACCCGCGAGCACCACGTCGTGCGACCCTTCCGGGAGCAAGATCCGGCAGTGCTGCACATCCTGCTCGAAGAGCTCAAGCAGGCCTCGATCAGTCGCGCTGAGTCGTTGCAGTACGGGGCCTCGACCCTGCCCGCCACCCAGATGGGGCAAACCGTGCTGGCTGAGAAATTTAGCACCAAGAAGCAACAGCTTCAGTCACGGCTCGACGGCGGCTTTGAGCTGGACGGCACCCGCACACAGCTCCTGGAGACCACACCTCAGGAGTTCCCCGGCCACCACGTCCGGGAACGCCGCCGGGAACGTGCGGAGCAGCGGCCAGTGCTGTCGCGCTACTCACAGGTATCCGTGCAAGGCTGTCACCAGAGCCTCATGCCCACGTATCGTCTTCCACAAAGTGCTTGCAACGTCACTCCCTTGGATGAGGTTGGTATGACGAGAGACACCCAGGCCGATCACGGCGTTGAGCTGGTAAGCCGACGAGGAGAGCGACCACATAGCGGGCCTCCTGCGTCCACCAGGTGAATATGGCAGTGCTGAACAGCCTGTCGCTCCGCCCCCAGATGAGGAAGGCAGAGCTGGACAGCCTGCAAGCTTCCAGGGTCCGATCACAGATGCAAGAAGTTTCGCTTTGAGCTTCGGTCGTGATTTCCGTGCACTCCACCAGCTCAACCACGACCGCGGTTGCACGAGCACTTGTATCAAGTGCGTTAAGAAGAAGTGCAAGGAGGCCGCCGAGGAGGCGCTGCGAAGAGGCCGCGTCGCGGCATGCCGTTTCTTCTTGTTTTCGCATCGTGACATGTCTCTCCGACTCCCTTCAAAACGGTGTGAAACGCATGCGCCGCAGGGGCAAGAAACTTGTCGAGACCGCCTACGTTGCCAGCGCCAACGATCGCAGCGAGTTCGGCAAGGTCGTCGTTGTTCGACACGCACCCTTCCGATCGGCAACGACCGACGTGGGGCAAGTGTGGGGCCGTTGCAACATCGACTTCCAATTCATGCCCCGCACCTTGGATCCGGAGCAGTTCTTCGCAAGCTCGACCGAGGCTTTGCTCGTTCCAAAGACGGATCCGAAACTTGCCCTCGCGATGTACGGCGCGCGGTTGCAGCTGCCCGATGCACCGCTGCTGCGTCGGTGCTTCCACCCCCTAGTGGCGATGCATCAAGCTGCTCACAACTGTAATTTTTATATCACGAAATACCAAGGCAACCCATGGAACAGCTCCAAAGTTGGCTGACACACATCGCCGTTGGCCTCTGGCGCCTCGAGGAGGAAGACGACGCGGCGGACGCCGAGCCATCCGTCGAGGATCGTGCGCGCAAGACGACACTACGGATTGCGACGGCTGCGAACCGATGCTCCTGGTGCTCCGTTTGGGAACTTGCGTGCTACATCACCGCCGGTGCTCTCGCACAGAAGACTGACGTGCCCGTCGCGGTCTTCTTGAGCAGACCGATGTACGTGCTGCAGGAGCGTCGATGGCTCCTCCAACGCGGCGACGAGATACTGCTGGACGTACTGGATCTTTCACGCGACGACGCCCGCGCGGTGGACGTCCTCGCCTTCACCGCTGCGGCTTCCTCAAGCAGTGCTGCGCAGCCTGCAGTTGCTGCTCCGTCTTCCCCTGGCTCTCGAGACAGTGCTGAACAGCCTGTTGCCCAAGAGCCGGACATGGGCGAGGAGGAGGTCGTTCAGGGCGGGTCCGCGGCAGAGGCCCCCGACGACGAAGCGGCTGAGGCCCCCGACCAACGGCGCCCCGAACCGCCTCCCGGACCGTCACCGTTCATCGACCCCTCCGTGCGAGAAGCGGGCGAGAACCCGGATAATCTCACGGACTCCATCGAGATCGCAACACTCACGAACACCACGAATTTTTTTATGACGACTGGCTGCATCGCGGCCCCTTCCTCGCTGATCTCGACTTACACACCTGCGTGACATGCGTCCTTCGCAACCCGCGACCTGTCAAGGCCCAGCTCGCGGACACCCAACGGGTCGAACACGTTTTCGCCTTCGACGACCACTGCGAGCTCGCCGAATCCCATTGGCAACAACTCAAAACACAAGGCCATTACATACTACCGATGCTGGAGGCCCTCCGCTGTTCACCACCGGGCATGAACAACGGCGAGGACAATGCAATGTGCGAGACACTTATGGGCACTTTGCTTGCTTGCCCTGGACAGAGCCGCTGCAACGACCCCTTGCTGCGCCGACCAGCCTTCTTTCCACCGGCGGATCCCGCCACGTTCAAGTGCCGGCAGCAGTGGAAGGCCCGGCGGGCAGAGATTGAGCTCTTGGCAGTGCGAGCGGGGGAAAAGAGCAACGCTGCTAAACGCATTCCCGTCCTTGCAGACACGACTTTGTGCCGTGCCAGCAGTCCTGGCACCGGGAGCGCTCCTCCGCTCGAGCTCTTGTGCTGCCTCTCTCAGTGGTGGATCCAGCATGCTCTGCCTTGTTTCGCACTCCGCGTCCTCGCTTTTTTTAACAGGTCCCTCCACTGCGAGCACCAATTAAGCGTGGCAGAGTTCTCTGCCTACCACCTACGGAGCGTCATCCAGCACCTTGACGGCCTCGCCATTGCACGCGCCACGAAACTTACGACGGGCTGCAGGGGGCACGCCGAGGACGAACTCCTCGAGGCACCACCGACGGACACACTTCACGCCGTCGAGGCGGAGTTCCATGGCGGCGAGGGCGTCGACGCGGACGATCCCGAGAACGAGGTGGTCGACACCGCAGAACGCTCCTCACCACTTTTCGGAGCCCTGAACGCGAAGCAGTTGACCGGCATCTTGACACGAGCCAGATAACTTGAAGCGGCCAAGAGACCCGGTCGGAAGAGCCAAGAGCTCAAACAAATGAAAACCTTTGACGACCTTTTCCGCGCATTGCTGCGCAGCCTGTCGCCCGAGAACGACGTGGAACTGGCGCGGGTCCACGGAAGCTATGGCTCGCCCCTCGCCGGGCTCGCCGCCGCGCTCGACATGCAAGACGCCATCATGAAACATCTGAAACGCATCGCCACCATGCAGGGCGACATGCCCGTCGACGACATCGACTCCCTCATTCCGGAGGCAGCGTTGCACAACCTGCAGCAGCAACAGCGGAAATGTGAGTGGATTGACTTGGCCGACGCTTTACGAGGCCCGGCACACGTGGCCAAGATGCTCGTTCGACGCTGCCAGGAGCGACGCTCCGCGCCGACGCGGCCCTACATACTCAACGACGAGCAGCTCCAGTGCATTGCCCTTTTCGTGACCCGCCTGGAGCAGGCCTTCCTCGAGCGCCTCGATCCGAGCAGACCGTGGCTCCATCCATCTCGCGCCCTAATGGCCATGATCATGGGCGGCGGGGGTGGCTGCGGCAAGACGACCTTGAGCGCCGAGATCTTGCTGCCCTTGCTCGAGGCGTTCTTCCACCCCGAGGGGGTCTTACGACGTGCCCCTTCGAACAAACCCGCTCGACTGATCGGCGGTCGCGCCGTGCGCTCTGGCCGGGGGCTGGCGTCCGAGAGCTCCATGCGAACGCGCGCGTTGGCCTTGAACGCGCAGGCTCGCCAAAAACCTGCCGTCACCCACGTCGACGCAGGCGACTTGCATGTCGACGAGTACTCGCAACAACAAGGCGAGCTCAACCGCGCCGGGGCTCCACGAACCACGTGCGCCCGCGAAGCAAAATGCGGCTTGAACAAGGACGTGTGCTTCAAGCCTCAGGAGCGGTGGGGGCGCTTACCTGTTGCGGTCTACTCTGGCGACCACTTGCAGCTACCACTGGCGCCAGCCTCGCCCAGCATGCTGGCACCGCTTGAGGGCGCTGCGAACGAGCGCAAAGTCGGGGCCAAGATTTCCCGCGACGCGGATTTGGTGTTCGAGTTCCAACAGGCAGGCCATGCGCTGCACCGACCACGCACTCATCGACATTCTGAACACCGTGCGGGTGCCTGGCGGCAGGGCCCTCACGGAGCAACAGTGGCAGGCCCTCAAGAACACCGAAATCAGTGCTGAACAGCCTGACATCCCAGCGTCGTGGTACCACTCGTGCTACTGCTGGAGCGTCATCAGCATGGCCGCGTTCATGCTCGCACGGCAGTCCGCCCGTGAGGCCCGACAAACTCTACTTTACGTGCAAGCCGTGGACCAAGCCTAAACCGTCATACCAGAGACGAACGCGGCACAGTTCTACGAGGACTTACTTCGGATACCCAGCATCCAGAAAACGAGGCGCCTTCCACGGTGGTGCTCTTCCATTACGGCATGCGAGTACGGCTCACGACCACGATCCAACAACCTTTTGCTGTGCAGGACGTCGAGGGCACTGTTGTCGGTTTTGACCTGGACCCCGCCGACCTCGCCACGGAAACCAAGCTTCGGTCACCATCCGCCTCGCACACCGCGGAATTCGCATGTCCTCTCATGCCGAAGGCTATTTACGTGAAGCTTGATGACTGCGATCTCCAGCCCTTGCCACCAACCATGTGTCCGGAGCATCCCGAGCGCAGCTCAACGTGCACTCGCTGCACCAGTGCTGCACAGCCTGGCGCCATGGCCATCTGGCCTAGGCCGCGCACGCTCAAACACAGCTACTCACCCACGGAGAAAACCAAATACGTCATAGTCTCACGGGCACAGATGCCGCTGATGCCGGCGGCGGCCGTCTCGCTTTACTCGATGCAGGGCACTGCGGCAGATCCCGGTCTGGTGGCCTACTGGTTCTCCCTGCGGCGATGCTCCGACGCCATCCGATGGCTGATCGTCTACGTCATGCTCTCACGGCCTCGCTCACTTGCCACCCTCAAGTCCGTGAATTTGACGAGGCAGATCCGCGGCGTCATAGAACGGGGTCCGCCCGAGGATCTCGTCGCCTACTTCGATCGACTTTCCCGCGAAAAAATCGAGGCGACGAGGGGGCTGGCACGAGAGGCCGCGCGCGCCTGCGGCCTCCTGCCAGAACTCTCTTGAGCGACGCACCCAAGCAATGCCGCGCAGCCTGCAGCCACATCCGGGAATCATGGGTCGGCGCCACAACAACTTCTACAGCAGTAGCCACTCGACGACGACGGCGACAAACACGATGCAGGGGGGCGAAGGGATTTGGTGCGGCGGTGTGGGCATGGGAGCCACCGACCCTGCGATGCACCCAGAATTTATGGATTAACGACCTCACCACGACCGCGTGTTCATCACCCACATCATCTTTCCATGGCGACCCGCGACGGCCGCGACATTCTTCGTAGCGGCTCATTCTTCGTAGCGGCGGGGCTGCATATCCACGGTGCTGCATGGCCTGTGGTGTCTCGCTACCCGTCCCTCGTTAGCATCCAACAGGTAGACCCACGTGCAGCATGGTCATGATGTAGACGTAGTTGCCCCCTGCTTGCACGCGCTTCCTAGGGGCAGGAGAGAGGCTGTTTGCTCGCGGCAAGGCGCATCCGCGGTGCTGCGCAGCCCGCGGTCGCTGGATGGCGTTCGCCGCGGCGTGACAGAGCATTGCGGCATGACAAAATGCATGACAAGATGTGCCTCGCTCCGCATCCCCCGCCAGATCCCCATCCGATTGTGCATGTTGTATTCGAAATTCGTTTCGGGGCCACAGGGGGCCCTGCGCGGTTTGGGCGGGGGGCTTGTCCCCCCCTTGTCTCTTCCGGATTCTATGCCCATCCGGATTCCGGTGCCCTTGTGCCTCGAGCGCTAGACGTGATCAGCCTCATCGGTGACTCAGATGGCCAATCATGCTGGCAGCGGGGCCATGGAGTTGCAAGATGTCTGCCAGCTGAATGGAAAAACCTGCCATGTCTGCCAGCAAGGTTGAACAGCCTGTCATGTCAGCCAGCAGAGTTGAACAACTTGCCACGCTAAGCAAATGCTGGCTGTTTTCGCGCACGTACTCCATTGACGCGCTGCAAACATTACAAGCGCGCCACCTACTGACACCGGTGTTGCAGTGTCTTGTTGAACGCTGTAGCAGGACGGCGATGCCCCTGATTTGCTCTGCATGCGAGGTCTCCATATCAACCGCGATGCGAAATTCAGCCCGAGCTTGTGCCTCAGAGGTCGGACAGAAACTACTGCGTTGTGCTGAAGCATTTGCCGGCAGAGACTACCAAGGACGGCCCGTAAATAGCTTGGGCCAATGGCATCAGGGGGTGGCCATGCAGCGGACGTGTCGGTGGGAACGATGGCGCTGCACCGCTGCTCAGGCAACAGAGACCGCGGTCGCGGAGTGTACCGGCCAGCCCGAGAAGCAATTGCATCGAATATTTGAGAGGTACCGCGTAGCCCTGCCAGGCTCGCGCGAGAAGACCCGTGCTGCGCAGCCGGTCCGCCAGAGTAAAAAGCGGCGCATATCAACCATGCGCCCCGCCACCAACAGTCTCTCACCAGCGGCGCCGGCGACTGATGATTCGATGCCACTCGGATTCACAGAGAGCAAGGCCAGTGCTGCACAGCCTGGCCCACCGCAAGTCGCGGCCATCATTGCAGGTGCCGACCCCAGTACCATGGTTGTTCAACCGGGCTCAGCAGCAGCATCCGCGCCAGCGCCAGTGCCAGGAGAAGTCGTCGACACCACTACCACGGGTCCTAGTGTTGCGCAACCTGGACCAGGCAGAACGCTGCAGCACTTGTGCACGAAGTACCAGATCACCGCGTTCCAACGACCCTTCTACTTGCTCATGATTATGAGACTACTCCCGGTTCAGTGGGGTGACCACGCGGAACTCTTACTGCGAACGTCCTGGTCGACAGCCTGGGGCGGAGGCAAAGTCATCAACGCCTTGCTCTTTAACGGGGAGCGCATCGTGCCAGAGAGCGCTGTTGATATGCGGAGGAACGTTTGGGATCAGTGCTACCCAGAGCTGCAGAGCGAACGAGGTGTTTGCTTGCATTCTGCATCACGGCGACTTCGGTGACCGCCTCTTGCAAATCGGCTGCGAGCACATCCCTGCTCAAATGCGACGGCCGATTGTTAACTTGCAGCGTATCTGCTACAAGATCTGCGAGTTGCGGAAGGGAAACCAGTCACGGCGATATGTGTACTACTGGTTATTCGACACAGTCCCTGCGCGCCAAGAGTGGCTCGGGCGACTCCACGACAGCGGGGAGGTTGTGGTCGCACCACTCTGGCCAGCGCCGATGATGCCAGCCGAAACAATGCTGAACAACTTGTTGCACCGATCTGGGAGTCGCTGCTGCTGTACAGTTTCGTAGGAACGTTCGGTGTAGCAAATGTTGCACAACCTTGCTCAATGCCAAGTCGTGCGGTGTAGGCCGGATCCGGAGCATTCTCAAGCACACCCGGTGAACGAATGGAAAGACATGCGTGTGTGTGTGTGTGTCTGTGCGCACGCAAAGCAAAAGCAACACCACGCAACAGCAAAAACAAAAGCAAAGCAAAAACAACAGCAACAGCAAAAGCAAAAGCAAAGGCAAAGGCAAAAGCAAAGGCAATAACAAAAGCAAAGGCAATGCAAAGCAAAAACAAAACCAATGCGAACATGAAGATGTAGATGTAGATGTAGATGTAGATGTAGGTGTGGATGTAGGTGTAGATGTATATGTAGGTGTAGATGTAGGTGTGGATGTATATGTAGATGTGAGTCTCGCTGTTGAGTAGATGTAGATCTTGATGTTGATGTAGATGCAGATGTAGATGTACATGTAGATGTAGATGTATATGTAGATGTAGATGCAGGCGTAGGTGTATGAGTAGCTGTAGGTGTAAATGTAGATGTAGGTCTAGATGTATATGTAGGTATCGATGTAGATGTAGGTGTAGATCTAGATGCAGACTTAAAGAATTCCCCCGTGCCCCGCCCTCATCTCCGTGCCTGCTTGCTGTTGCTGCTGT